GTGCTGAGCGCACGTGTGCTGGAGAAGGAATGAATGTGCCGCCCTGGGCATGGGGTCGTACCTGGCAGTGGCGGAGGCATCAGCGGCGGACAACCCGCCCAAGTTCATCCACGTCACCTACACACCGCCTGCTGCTGCTGGGGATGGTGGCGAAGGGAGCGAGGAGAAGCCGCTGAAGAAGCTGGCGCTGATCGGCAAGGGACTCACCTTCGACAGGTATGCATGGGGCTGCGCATGCCTCCTCATGCCTGTTCATGCCTTCTTGTGGCCCTAAGGGCATGCGTCCGACCATGTGCTTCCACCCATTTCACGCTATCTGCCCCATGACGTCCACATAAACCGTTTCAAGGCTGATTCTGCCATCAAACAGCAGCGGGTCAATCTGTCCGTGGATCGCCTCTGCTCTCATCCCTCCCTTGGTCAACCACGCCTTCTGTCTTCACCACCTCGTCCCAACCTTCCTTCCCCTCTCCTCTCACTTATTCGCTCATCCACTCGCTATTAGAAGCGGCAGGCAGGCAAGGGCTCCACAATTCACTCAGTAAGATCTCCCATCCATCCCCTCCCCTTTCTTGCACCAGTGGCGGCTGCAACCTCAAGGCTGGTCGTCCTCGCATCCCCTATCCCATCACCATTTCCCCTCCCCACCATTTCCACCCCTCCCATGCACCAGAGGCGGGTACAACCTGAAGGCAGGTCCAGGCTCAATGAGTCACCTCATGGAGTTGGACATTCTCTCATGCCTCCAATCATCTCCCTTGGCTCTGCTTCTCCCTTGGCTCTGCTTCTCCCTTGGCTCTGCTTCTCCCTTGGCTCTGCTTCTCCCTTGGCTCTGCTTCTCCCTTGGCTCTGCTTCTCCCTTGGCTCTGCTTCTCCCTTGGCTCTGCTTCTCCCTTGGCTCTGCTTCTCCCTTGGCTCTGCTTCTCCCTTGGCTCTGCTTCTCCCTTGGCTCTGCTTCACCCCCTCTGCTTCACCCCCTCTCCTTCCCCGCTTATCGCACCCACCAGTGGCGGGTACAACCTGAAGGCGGGGCGGGGTCAATGATTCACCTCATGAAGTTTGACATGGGCGGCGCTGCTGCTGTGCTGGGCGCTGCCAAGGCCATCGCTGCCATCCAGCCCCAGGGCGTGCAGGTGAGGGTTCTGCACCTACCGTCCGCCCACCTGTTCGCTCAGCGCAGCACTCAGCACCACCTCACCTCTCTTCCAAACATGCCTTGCTGCTGCCGCTGGGATGCCACGGCCATGGTCATGGGACATGGGGCATAGGCCATGGGGCATGGGGCATGGAGCATGGGGCATGGGCATGGGCCATGGGCCATGGGGCATGGGGCATGGGGTATGGGGCATGGGGCATGGGGCATGGGGCTTGAGCCATGGGCCATGGGGCTTGGGGCATGGGGCTTGGGGCATGGCACGCGTTTAACTCCCATGGGGTAGCGGGGGAGGGGGGTCAATGCGTGCTGTTAGAGAATGAGGCTGGAGATGCACTGGGACGTGAAGGCAAGTGCGAGTTGTGTGTGTTTTGTCACCTATCTCCCCCACGCCCCTTGCTCTTAGCATGCCCGGGGGCCGGGGGCAGCTCGGCATAACGCCACACCAGTGGGGTCGGCATGAAGGCTTGATTGTTTTGATGTGATAGTCTGTTTGTGTGTGTGCTTTGCACTGCATTGCATGTGCGTATGACTTGCATGTGCCTTGCATGTGCCTGTTAACATGCCCACCACCGCCAGGTGCATTTCATCATAGCAGCGTGTGAGAACATGGTCAGCGGGGGCGGCATGAAGCCGGGCGACATCATCACTGCTTCCAACGGCAAAACCATTGAGGTGCGGCGGGAGCACTGAAGTGTGGTGAGACTAGTGAGGCGCGGGGAGAGCTGTTGGGGCAGTTAATACGGTTATTATGAGAACACACAAGATAGGCTTTGCCTTTTTCCTGCTTGTTGACGGTATTTGAAGCCAGGCAACATCATCACTGCCTCCATTGAGGTGAGTCGGGAGGTCAGGGAGGTGCGGGGAGAGCATTGAGGTAAGGCGAGAGCAGTGGGGCGCGGAAAAGCTAAATATATGCTTCGTCGCAGATGCTGCATGGGAAGTACAGTTGGCATTGGGTTGAAACTAGCACAAACAAAACTCTGCCTGCGCTCTTTTGTGGCTCTCTTCCCTCCCCACCCCTTGTTGTAATGAATGGCGGTTGGGTGTGTTACTGCTTCTGACACTGCCACTAGCACAACCGCCCTATCCCTTCCTCCCCTTCTCTGTCCCTTCCTCCTCTTCTCCATCCCTTCCTCCCCTTCCCCGTCCCTTCCTCCTCTTCCCCAACCCTTCCTCCCCTTCTCCGCACCTTTCTCCTGTTCCCTCTCCCTCCCCTTCCTCGCCCCTTCCCTCCTCCACGTGCCCATCCCCTCACAGGTGAACAACACGGACGCGGAGGGGCGGCTGACACTGGCGGATGCGCTGCTGTATGCGCAGCAGCAGGGCGTGGAGAAGATTGTTGATGTCGCCACCCTCACTGGCGCCTGCATCATCGCCCTCGGGAATGACATCGCAGGTACGCCCCTCCCATGCATTGCTGGTATGCTCGTGGCATGGCTGGCGGGCTGATATGTCGGTGGCATTGCTGGCAAATCACATGCATGAATTCATACTCACGTGCACCCTCGCTCACTTACCCCCCCTTCCTCACCCTCCCATCTCCTCTTCCTCCTCCCTGCCACCACCCGCAGGTCTGTTCACCCCGAGCGATGAGCTGTCAGCAGAACTGGAAGCTTCCTCCAAGGCGTGTGGCGACAAGGTGTGGCGCATGCCCATGGAGGAGGCGTACTGGGAGGGCATGCGCAGCAAGCATGCCGACATGCTCAACACCGGCGGCCGCGAGGGCGGCTCCATCACTGCAGCACTCTTCCTCAAGCAGGTGCGTGGAGAATGAGAGAGGGGGAAACTGAGAGAGGAAAACACCACAGCCCTTGTTTGTTGCAGTTGCTCAGCGGCAGCAAGCAACAGCAGGAGCGGGTGTTTGTTCTGTGCCACTTCTTCTGACCAGAATCACTTTTTGGCAGTCTCTTTTGCAGCAGCCCCTCTCTTCCTCCTGTCTCTCTCTGGGCTAACCTTGAAGCAGAACATTTGTGTGCATTATGACGAGGCAAATTTGCCTCGAACTTACTCTCTCTCTTGTCTCCTGCCTCTCTGTTTGCTGTTGCTCCCACCATTCCCTGCCACCATCCCCTGCCGCCATTCCCTGCCACCACTCCCTCCTCTCTCATGCCTCTCTGTTTGCTGTTTTGCCGCCACTCCCCTTTACCAGTTTGTGGTGGAGGGGTTGCCATGGGCGCATTTGGACATTGCAGGGCCGGTGTGGAGTGAGAAGAAGGGCGGAGGCACTGGCTTCGGTGCCAGCCTGCTCTACCACTGGGTCGCCTCCCACTCCCCCTAGGCCTCCCACTCCTAAGGCTGACACTACTAGAATTAACAGTCGGTTGGATATGCGGTGGCAGTAAAAAAACTGGGAAAAGGGAGAAGCACTAGATGGATGGATCCCGCTGCTTCGTCCCAAATTATTTGAAAACTGAAAGCCATTGTTCGATTCAATCTATCCAGGTCGGCTAGTTAATTGGATTGTTTCCAAAGGTGAGTCTATTTAGTTAGGTATTTTGTTTTAATACCCTCTTAGAGGGGAAAACATGATAAAACTTCCCCATATTTAAGAAACATTTTGAAGGAATTTTCGGCTTATAACCGAGTTGAAGCTATGTGTAAGGAATTTTCTCGGCATTCCTTACGGAGCCCGGCTACATCGCGTACAGCAAAAGCCGTTGTTCGCCCGTTCCTGCTCACGGGGCTTCGCCAATTTCGCGCGCACAGTTTTGCCAAACCTCGCATTGCTGCCCCGGCCGTGTCTGTCAAGCTTATATGCTAAGTCAGTGTAGGCTGTAGTGGGGTAGACAATATGGGGTACAACATTTCTAGGTTTTCCTACTTGTACCCGCCTCTTTCCTAGTTCACTCATTCCTCATTCTTCACATGGTATAGAGCAGGTTCCCTAGTGGGAACGCTTCTCAGGGCCCACCACTGAACTTGATTTTTTATTTTTCCTGCCCGAGGCGCGCCCTGTAGGCCGCCCTCACGTCGCGCCCTCCTAGAGGCCCCTCTCACGGCCCCTCGCGCCACCCTTAGCGACCCGTCGCCACCCCTTACGGCCCCGTCGCCGTCCTTTGCAGCCCCGTCGCCGCCCCTCTAGGCCCCTCACGGCCCCTTCGCGGCCCCGTCGCCGCCCCTCTAGGCCCCTCGCGGCCCCTTCACGGCCTCGTCGCCACCCCTAGCGGCCCCATCACCGCCCTTCGAGGCCCCTCGCGGCCCCTCTGGGCCCCGTCGCCGCCCCTATCGGCCCCGTCGCCGCCCCTAGCGGCCTCGTCGCCGCCCTTCGCGGCCACGTCGCCGCCCTTCGCGGCCCCGTCGCCGCCCCTAGCGGCCCCGTCGCCGCTCTTCGCGGCCCCGTCGCCGCCTCTAGCGGCCCCGTCGCCGCCCTTCGCGGCCCCGTCGCCGCTCTTCGCGGCCCCGTCGCCGCCTCTAGCGGCCCCGTCGCCGCCCTTCGCGGCCCCGTCGCCGCCTCTACCGGCCCCGTCGCCGCCCTTCACGGCCCCTTCACCGCTGAGCCGCCCAACAGCCGAGCAGCCGAGCCGTCTAGCCGCCCAGCAGCCGAGCCGCCGAGCCGCCCAACAGCCGAGCCGCCGAGCCGCCCAGCAGCCGAGCCGCCCAGCAGCCGAGCCACCTAGCCGCCCAGCACCCGAGCAGCCGAGCCGCCGAGCCGCCGAGCCGCCGAGCCGCCGAGCAGCCGAGCCGCCGAGCCGCCGAGCCGCCGAGCCACCGAGCCGCTGCCGTCGAGCCGCTACTACCACTGCCAAGCCGCAGCCACCGCGGTTACAGCCCTGTTCCTACCGGCGTGCCCCGGCCCTACCCACTCGGACTAGTGAGAGCACTCCCTGCTAGACCACTGCTGTCATGGCTACCCCCAGTGTCCTTACCTTTAATGCTGAGGGTCGTGCTGTTGACTTTGAGGTCTGGGTCGATGACCTGCAGCTTTTCCTACAGTGCGATAGGGCCGACGGACTCTCCCTGTTTGATCTCACCTCTGGTGCCTCTCCTGCCCCGCCTACTGATGCTGACAGCAATGTTCGCTCACAGTGGGCCACACGCGATGCTGCTGCCTGTCTTGCTGTGCGTCGCCACTTACCGACCGCTGAGCGTGCGCACTTTAGTCAGTACAAGAGTGGTAAGACCTTGTACGACGCTGTAGTTGCACGCTACTCTTCCCCTGCCACTACTGCTCTTAGCCGCCTCATGCTGCCATACCTGTTCCCTGACCTTGCTGCCTTTCCCACATTCGCTGACCTCATTACGCACCTTCGCACTAGTGACACTCGCTACCGCGCTGCGCTTCCTGCTGAGTTCTGTGCCAAGAACCCCCCCCCCCTCTACTACATAGTCACCCTGTCAGAACATTATAGCTTATACATTTGTGTAGGCTGTAGTGGGGTAGCCCATAAGGGGTACAACCCAATTAGGGTTAGTACTTGTACCCAACTCTTTCATAGTTCAATCATTCCTCATTTCTTCACATGGTATAAAGCAGGTTCCCTAGTGGAACGCTTCCTTGGGCCCACCACTGATTTTTTTTTTCCTGACCGGAGCGACAGTCGCTCCTGCCCGAGGCGCGCCTTCTGGGCTGCCCTTCTTTTGACTTCTCGTAGAGGCCCCTTCACAGCCCCTCGCGCCACCCCTAGCGGCCCCGTCGCTGCCCTTCCAGGCCCCTCGCGGCCCCTAGCGGCCCCGTTGCCGCCCCTACGCGGCCCCGTTGCCGCCCTTCCAGGCCCCTCGCGGCCCCTAACGGCCCCGTTGCCGCCCCTACACGGCCCCGTTGCCGCCCTTCCAGGCCCCTCGCGGCCCCTAGCGGCCCCGTTGCCGCCCCTACACGGCCCCGTTGCCGCCCTTCCAGGCCCCTCGCGGCCCCTAGCGGCCCCATTGCCGCCCCTACGCGGCCTCGACGCTGCCCCTGGCGGCCCTGTCGCCGCCCCCAGCGGCCCCGTAGCCGCCTCCCTCCTTACACGGCCCTGTTGCCGCCCCTACGCGGCCCCGTCGCCGCCCCTAGCGGCCTCATCGCCGCCCCTACGCGGCCCCGTTGCCGCCCCATGCGGCCCCGTCGCCGCTCCCTTCCCTACGCGGCCCCGTCGCCGCCCCTACGCGGCCCCGTCGCCACCCCTACGCGGCCCCGTCGCCGCCCCTAGCGGCCCAATCGCCGCTCCCTTCCCTACGCGGCCCCGTCGCCGCTCCCTTCCCTACGCGGCCCCATCGCCGCCCCTAGCGGCCCCGTCGCCGCCCCTACGCGGCCCCGTCGCCGCCCCTAGCGGCCCCGTCGCCTCTCTCTTCCCTACGCGGCCCCGTCACCGCCCCTACGCGGTCCAGCAGCCGCCCCTAGCGCCCCGTCGCCGCCCCTACGCGGCCCAGTCATCGCCCCCGCGGCCCCGTCGCCGCTCTGCTCCCTACGCGACCCCGTCACCGCCCCTAGCAGCCCCGTTGCCGCCCCTACCCGTCCCCGTCGTCGCCCCTAGCGAGCAGCCTAGCAGCCGAGCCGCCCTTGGAGCAGACGCAACTGCAGCAGCCGCCCTTGGAGCAGCCGCCACTGCAGCAGCCGTCCCTGGGGCAGCAGCCACTGCAGCAGCCGTCCCTGGAGCAGCCGCCACTGCAGCAGCCGCCCTTGGAGCAGTCGCCACTGCAGCAGCCGCCCCTGGAGCAGCCGCCACTGCAGCAGCCGCCCCTGGAGCAGCCGCCACTGCAGCAGCCGCCCCTGGAGCAGCAGCCAGTGCAGCAGCCGCCCCTAGAGCAGCCGCCACTGCAGAAGCTGTCCCTAGAGCAGCCGCCATTGCAGCAGCCGCCCCTGGAGCAGCCGCCACTGCTGCAGCCGCCCCTGGAGCAGCCCCCACTGCTGCAGCCGCCACTGCTGCAGCCACCCCTGGAGCAGCCGCCACTGCAGCAGCCGCCCCTGGAGCAGCCGCCACTGCAGCAACCGCCCCTGGAGCAGACTCACCAGCACCTGGGGCAGCAGACGCACTGGCACCTGTGGCAGCAGACGCACTAGCACCTAAAGCAGCAGCCTCACCAGCACCTAGAGCAGCAGCCTCAATGCCCGGGTCAAGCGGAACACACAGGTAACAGTCACCCTCATCACCAGTAGGCAATGCATACATGGCAGTGAGGATAGCATCATAGTCACTCTCTCCACAGGAGATGCGCGAGTGGTTTGCCCGCCGCTGGAGATGTGCTGCTGAGACTGGGGGTGCTGCTGGGGCTTCTAGAGTTGGTCCTGCTGGAGCTGCTGGCGGTACTAGTGCTGCTGGAGCTGGAGCTGCTGGAGGTGTTGGCGCTGGTGTTTCTATTGGCGCTGGAGCGTCTAGGGGTGGTGCTGAGGCTGCTGGAGCTGACGGTCCTAATGGAGTTGGTGCTGCTGGAGCTGGAGCTGCTGGGGGTGTTGGCGCTGGTGGTGCTGCTGTCGCTGGTGCTTCTGAGGGTGCTGGAGTTGGCGCTGGTGGAGCTGGCGGTGCTGCTGGCGCTCCTGCTGCCGCTTGGGGTACTGGTGCCGTCTTCGCTGGTTCTGGAGGCGCTGAGCGGCCGAGGCCGTACTTCGTTCCGCTCTAAGAGCAGGTTCTTGGTCTCCCGCCCTCTACTGGTCCTACTCCTTCCTTAGAGTGTCCACAGCCTGTCCAGTCACAGTCACAGTTACAGCCCGCCTCCCCTCTACCTGCTCCTTCTCCCTACACTGGTCCTACTAGAGGTCTTGCTGAGCGTCGTGAGCCTGCGTCTCGTCCTGCGTCGCCTGATCGTGCTGCTCGCACTAGTCGTCGTGCTGCGCGTCCGCGTCCTCCTGCGGTCCCCGGCACACACCAGATGGCGATGCGTCCGTCCACTACTCCTCTGCGTGTCCCGTTGCCGTCTCCTCCAGAGTCCTCTCTTCCTTCTCTTGCTGACCCGGAGTCCGACTCCCTTCGTGCTGATAGTCCTTCGGTCACGTGCCTTCTTGCTACTGTTGTCACTGACCCTTCCTTTCAGTCCACTGCTGCGTCTGCCCTAGTTGCTAAGCTTGTCGACTTCGCTGCTCGCTGTCGTCTAGACTACGCTGCCAGTCTCGTTGCTCAGTCTGAGTCTGTCTGTCCTGCGTCCGTTGGGGGTGAGTGTGCTCTTAGCACAGACATCCTTGAGGACAGGCAGGCCGAGTTCCAGTGCTTTGATGCTGCTTTGCCTCATCTCGTGTCCACGCTGATTGCCCCTGAGGGAGACCCGGATGCACCAGACATCCCGACTCCTCGATCGTACGCTGAGGCGATCGAGGGTCCCTACTCCTCAGAGTGGCGGTCAGCCATGGACGCAGAGATGACTTCCTGG